TTTTTTTTTTTTTTTTTTTTTTTTTTTTTTTTTTTTTTTTTTTTTTTTTTTTTTGTATTTTCATTCCGTGAGAAAGAGAGAGAGAGAGAGAGAGAGAGGAACACAGAAGCTGCTCGATGATGAAAGAAAAAGAGAGGGAGTTCACGAGGAAAACGGGCTACTGCACGGGATAGACGCTGCGGCTGACAGAGGCTTTAATTTGTATGTATATATATGTATAATTATATATACCGGCATTACGGGGTTGACCTTTTGAAATTTATGGCGCAGGGGAGGGTCGGGAGGGAGAAATCTTGGAAACGTAATCGGGGGAAAACTGTGGGAGGGAGGGAGAGAGCCCAGCTAGCGCAGGTATATAGCTCGCCTGTGGTGCGTTCCCGGGTATAGCCGTGTAAGTGTTGTTCAGCTATGCGTTTTTTTTTTCTGTCTTTGCGACGATTTACCGGGTGAGGCGATCGGAAAATAAGTGACTTTAGGTTTATGACTATACTACGTAGTGCAGGCCGTGCATGGAAGAAAAAAAATGGAAAATCGGTACTTGTTGTCGATAGTGTTGACGATTTTTCGAACGAAATAAACCCTATTTCGAGGGTGTGCCAAAAAAAAAAAAAAAAAATGTTCATTTTAAAATCGGGGACAAAAACGGTAGATTTTTTGTGAATTTTCTCACATAAACCACCGATACAATACTTACTGCATATACTGTTGAGGAAAAGCGTGTGCTACGATTGTCATCCATTACGTGATCATTAATTATATTGTACCTGTGAAAAAACACAAATTCTAATACTTTGATGCGAGTGTAAAAAATATAGTTAAATACACCCCAAATGGTTGGTCAACGCACCAAAAAAAAAAAAAAAAAGAAATTGCATATTGGAGCCAAAGGTCTTGCCTGAATAGTCAGTCATATGGACGTTTATATACGCGATGGAGAAAAAAAAAAAGGATGACTTGTTATTGTATCCCATATTTTCATGTACAAAATGTAATATGACACACACGCGGGAGATAAAAGAGGGATGACAGTGGAAAATGGGGAAGAGGTCAGAGAGGGAGACTCGCGGCTAAAACAACAATAGCGCTGATTACTCGACGGCGAAAGGGTGTGGCAGAGAGAGAGAGAGAGCGCCATTGAGTCGTTATACACGCATATAATATATACATATAGGAATAGCGCCAATAAGACCTCTCTCTCTCTCTATCATCTTTTATAGTGTATGTATGTACATATTATACCACACGTTGCATATACGTGTACACCGAGCAAATGGTGGCTGAGTGTGTGTAGGTATATATGCGTGTGCGGCAGTAAAACCGAGCCAAGCCAAGAGAGAGAGAGAGAGATGTGCGAAAGTGTGCAAAAGCTGGCTGGCTATGGCTGGTTGAAGCACAGCAGCAAACGCGAACCTGGCAACTCCGCTTTCTCGTCGTCTCTGTCTCTCTTGTTCGCATGCCCGGCTTGGTTGGAGACAGAACGAGAGAAAACGAGGGGGAGGGGGCGAGCTGAGCCGAGAGAGAGGAGGGAGGGAAGCAAAAGCGGCAAGGGGGGACGGCGGGGCAAGGATGAACCGAACCAGCTTAAAGGGGATAGAACCGAGCGGAGTAATCAATATATTCGAGCGCTCGCTCCTACTCTCTCTCTCTCTCTCTCTTTTGTCGTCCCTCGCCTCTTTTCTCTCTACTCCCGTCTGTGGGGCTCTTTCTCTCTCTACTTACTCATGCAACGTGCAATTCTTAAAGCTTTCCGAGTGTGTGCTCTCTATTTATACATATTTATGTATCGTCTCACGCTGAAATAATATATTAAACGCTGTGGGTGAGTGTATCATCGAGCGGCCAAATGTCGCAATAATCGGGGAAACTGCGAGGAAACTGTGGACAATGTAGATGATACATATGGCTAATGAGCATCATTTTTTTCCCACATAAATATCTCGTTTATCTGAATATTGCAAGAAAATGGAAATAATAAAATTGAAGAATATAGTTACAGTTACACTTAAAAATGGCACGTAGCGTATGAATATGTAAATTCATCGATGAAATGTCGACTTTCCGTGTATAATGTACGAACAGAGAAAGAAAAAGCACTCGATTGCAATTTCAAAAATGATGTACAGTTATAGGAGTATCTTTTCAGCATCGCACGAAATACTCTATTCAGATGCTCGCGTGCACTTTGCTTCGATCGAGTCGGACAGAGTTCTTCCTTCCCTGCGTGGAAACTCATCTCGTTTCGTCGATGGAATATACACCCGCGCGTGCACAAGCCCAAAGTTCGAGCGAGTTTCCTTCCACTCCGGTGATTCCGGGGATTTTGTCGAGCAAAGGAATACCGAACGGAAAAAGACTCTTTTCGTTATTCCAACGATTTCTCTATTCCTTTTCATCAACTGTGCATACTCTGGTGCATCGCTTTAAACATTTTTTTTTTTTTTTTTTATCTCTCTTTCTTTATCTTTCTTTTAAAGCTTGCATACAGTGGATATGGGAAGGGAGAGGAATTAATCCCACGCGTAAATGGCATTTTCATATACGAGTCAGCAGCCTTTGCGCTGTGCGACGGATTACAGGGGGGAAAGGGTGTATATATATATATAGGCTAAGCTCTCACTGGTCCGAAATTTTTGGTTTTTTCTTTTTCTTCTTCCTTTGTTGTTCCAATAAATGAGAGATCAACTTGAAATATTGAAATCGATGCATGTTTTAAAAGTAATATATATATACACGTGTACGTGGAAATGGCCAGTTCGATCAACTATGAGAAAATACACGTTCGTATGTCGGTTAGTTCAAAATATATTGAAGAATTTCGATAAAACAAATTACGTACTTGTGCACCAATGGCGGCTCGTTTGTGCTCATTGGCACAAGTGCAAGGGACAAAAGTATCTAGGGTGGGGTGGGCTGCGGTATCCGAGCGAAATTGATTTTAAAGAAAAGCCCGTAAGTATTGCGTACATGAAACTTAACACATGCACATAGGTACACGGCATTTTGGCTGTGGTTGCGATCATCATCAGGAGGGACGAAAATTCAAGCGGCGTGTGCAGCAGGTGTATGCCTGTACGTGGTAATAACATACTATTTCGCTCCCACCTCGTATTGCATCCCTTTCTTGTCATCCGAACGACGCCAATGTTGAGCCGATAACGGGACTCTCTTGTCGTTGCCCGACACCCGATGAGACACTGCCGATGTTATAGTATCCTTATTTTTTGTCGTCGTCGATTTCTGTTGTCCAACGACCTGTTGTGCATATATATACTCGTATACCTATTGTTCCCGCCTGCCACGTCGTAAGATGTATTTTCATGCGCGACCGAGCCCCTCGACTCCCTCTTTGCCCTCGCCTGATGCTCTCTCCCCCGTAATCGAACTGCTTTGATAAGTATAATGCATGAGTGGTTCGTCATCGTGGCTTCGCAATTGAAATTCGGATATACTTATGGGTACAACTTTATTTGATGAACTTTCGCGGCTGTTTCGCAGATCGCAATGTAGCTTCACTTTTTGAAAAATCAAGTACACCAAAGAAGCATTATTATTTTTTTTTTTTTTGATATAAAATCACAATTTAGAATAACGGTCAATGCATATGTTTTGCTCTGAGATTTCATGAGGGCATTATTGTGGTTCATCGAATGGGCTGCAGAGTTCAGCACCGTTCGGTGTGGAGCTGACATCTGTACACTACTTGTCTTACTAAAAATAAAAATTCCAAACTTTCGCGGTAATAAATAATCATCGTAACGATTCAAGACGTATGAATCGGCTATGTTGTGTTATGGTGAATAAAATTAATTAAAAAGCAATTGTACCAAAACATACTACGGAGCAAAATATTATAAGTAAAAAATGTTTGGCTCTTTTAAAGTTATTGAGATGCTGTGAGTAGTCTTGTTTGGATGTTATTACTTTCAATTTCAATTATTTAACAATAACATAGTTTATTTTATAAAAAAGAAAAAAATACTTTTAATTACTTCTACTCCATTCTTTGAGTGGCATATTTTTCGCAACAGAGTCGCTCATTTTCTTGTCACATCTAATTGGTGGACTACAATCCAGCAAACCAAAAAGACCCATTAAGGACTTTAATGCAGCGATATTTTGAGCTTCTTCAATTGTCTCACCAAAGCCTGTTTATAAATATTTAAAAAATCAAATTTATTCTGAGGTTCAATTAACATGTATAAACATTGGATAAAAAATACCAACCAGTTCCCAATAATTCTCGGTTTGAATAAATTCCAATCTGATAAACAGGAGTCACGGTATTTGCTCCAGTTTGTGCAATTATTCTCGGCTCTGCAAGTTCTCTGTGTTCCCTGTCGAGTATATCATTTAAAATTTCCAATGGCTCTTCTGGACACCAGATTTCCATCAAGTCTTTTTCAACCAATCTTGCAATCAAAATGTCTCTTACAAACACACTAGTATGTTCCAAGTCTACACTGCGATTCAAGGCTGATATTAGTGCATAAAATGTGTTTGCAAGTGTTTTCCCTTCTACAGGAAAATCCTGAAGAAAATGTAAGAATACAATAACCATTCAGAAAATTAGAGTAAATGTTGAAACCATTTAAAATCACATACTGTTGATAAAATTAAATCAGTTGATCCAATTCCAGATGCTGTTTTAGCTAAAATTTCGGGTGACAGTAAGTATTCCCTCAATGCACTGAGGACAAAAATCAAGTGTTAAATAATAAAACGTAAATATACACTAAAATTCTCTAAGGAAATATAAGTAACTGTCAACTTACTCAATACATTCTAGTGGAGCTAAAGGCAGAACCTGACTCAAATAATTGTCGATAATCAATGGTGCAATTTGCTTTCCTTCCTCAACAAGTTCTCTGTTATCCAAAATATCAAGCTGAGGATCTTCGATTCCAACTTTCTTTTGTTCTTCTTCCTCTTGTATAACGTAAGATCTATGAGTAAACGCCTGCTCCAGTAATTCTAAATCAAACTTTTCCGTAAGCCTCTGATTAAAGGCATAAAGTTCGGCGTTTCGGTTCCAGTCGAGATATTTGCTGCGTGGATTGACTATTGGATTTTCTTGTTTTTTCTGCCTTTTTGTCAACTCCCTAAGCGTCGGAGCAACATACCTTTTGATTTCTCTTTTGGCTAAAAGTTATCAAAACAAAGCCTATTACGTTGCAGCAGTTGTCAAATAATGTAACAAATTGATTTACAAAAATGTGTATCATTAATGACGAGAAAGTCACACACATAACCTCCTCAAACGCCGACACTTGCTCTGGTAAACAATAAAACGAAAAATACACTTACATTGATGATTGGTGATGCTTGTTAGCTTTTGAAATTTAACAGCTAATCTTGCGCAAGCCCGAAAATTGTACATTATTCTTCAGAACTTGCAGTTGAATGACAACGTTTAATCGATTAATTGAACTTTAAGTCGATGCAGATGAGGACTTATCTACTCGATTGCGAACTAAGTAGATACCTATGGTTTTACGAATCTTCAATTGAATAGGTGTATTTTTTTTATTTTATTTTGAATCAAGACGTAAAAATATTGGTTTGTTTTCACACATCAATTTGTTATTTCCATACAAACGACATGACGGCAAACTGTGCAACTATACTGGAAGCTCCAGAGGTGTCGTCTGCAAGCCCAGAGGGGCCACGTTCCGAAACTGATTTGTTGAGTAAATTGCAACGTTGCAATCAGCTGACGCTGACAAAAGGGACATAATATTGAAACTGTCACATGACTGTTCTGTTGCCAGCTGACAGCGGTGTTGCCATTTACTCAACGAATTCGTGTTTCGGAACGTATTTCCGAGTCCCACTGAGCCAGAGTTATTCATCGCAAAGTCGCGAATGTTATTTCATTAAATGTTTATAAATATTTAATTTAGTCTCCGCAAGTTTTACGATTAGTAAAAATATCATTCCATATCAGATGTCCGTTTGATTTGAAATGTTAACGCTTACTTGGATGATATCGCCATCTTTAGCTTAGACGTCAAATGAGAGTGGGGGATGATTTTTCTATTTACTTGTCATTCGAGCCAGCACGCCCAGCACAGTTGATTGACTCTGAGACCTGAACCTAAAGTCCACTGTTGCGAACAGTGTTCAACAATTGTGTGTGTACGAGTTGATTTTTATTTATTTTTTTTTCGTAGTTTATTCGTTAAAAAATGTTTAAAACCACTCAGCAAGAGCCCGATATACCAGCTGCTCTGAGTCCTTTACAAAATTATACTACAGAACAATTGAAGGAGTTACTGAATGACGAAGAAAAATTTGAAGAGCTGATCAAGGATAATAAACAGGTATCTCATACGATTGCTGATTATATTATTTATTTTGTTTTTAAGAACCTTCATGACATTGTTGAAGTCAATTGTGATGTATTATTGATTGACGTGGTGTAATTAATAGCAAGTATTGGCTTATCTTTGTTTTGATAGTTGCTAGAGTTGGAGGCAGAAAAGAAAGAAATAATGGTCAGAAATCGATCATTAGCAGAGTTCAATCTGACCAAAGAGCCAGAACTGGAGGAAGCCAAAAGGCGTATACAGTCTCTGAGCGAAGAGGGTAGTCAGTTGTGTTCAAAAGTACAGGCCCTACTGGAACAAATCGGTGAGTCTGGGATAATACTTATGTGCAATTATAAAACTATGGTTGAGGCTGATGTACTGAGTATTGACCAACTGTTACAGCAAACAAAGCAGGAACAATGACAGTTGATCTAGCCTTAGATCTGTTACAAACTGCAGCAGCAGAAATCGAAGAAGAGTCTGAGGTTGGTACAAAATTTTGATGGACTTGAGGAAAATTGGATTAAATTAAAAATGTTTCAACTTTAGAAAGTAGCAGAAAAGTTTCTTGCTGGGGAAACTGAAGTGGACGAGTTTTTAGAACAATTCTTGTCCAGACGGAAAATCATGCACTTGCGTAAAGTCAAGGTTGATAAAATGAGAGAACTAATGAGAAGACCACCACAGGCAGCGAATCCAGTATATCCAGCTGCAGGAGGTTATCCTGGAATGACACCACAGGTGCCCTACCCAACGGAACACATCTCTATGCCTATGCCGGTACCTCCATTCTAATATATGTCAATAAAAATTGAGAAAGCAATCATTGTTAAATTTACAAACACAATGAGGTTCTGTTGAGATACTTCAATTATAAATGTTATAATTTTTTTCAATTTTCCACATGTACCTAATTTTTTTTTTTTTTATGTGTAGAGGCAAATGTATTTTTTATATTTCCAAATAAGCTAAAGATATATTTTATATAAAAAAAGTTGTCCTAAATTGGAAGTAAAGTGATTTTTTATTGGTAAGTGAAATTAATGCCATGTATCAGTGAAACGCAATGTACTGTTTTAAGTCTTGATGGAGTCAATGTAAACATAATAAAATTTAATGCAAGTTTGACAGTTGTTGAAATTATAAGCTATGAAAAATGTGAGAATAAAATATATTTATTTCTTCTGTACAATAATAATTTATCAGTATTTACAAGTGACGGAAAACTTTTTTATAAATAAATGTATGTCCATCAATAACAGTGATCTAATTTTTTCTAAAATTAACTTCTTGGATCTCATTATTATTAGCTATTCTTTGTTTCACACGAGGCTCATCATAATTACGTTCAAAAAATGTTTGCATCAATACACTGATGACAATGGTAAAACAGAAAAATATCGTTAATCGAAGAGAGTTTTGATATTCGGCTTCATTATATCGTTGAACTCTATCATCTAAATCCTTAACCACTTCCTGTGCTCTTTTTCTATCCAAATGTCTTTTGAAAGCTACTCCATAATGAGCCTTAGTCCACGCATCAAAGTCATAGTTTCTGAAGTTATCAGTACTCTTTGTCTCATTGACATTTGATGATCTGGATTTTTTAAAACCAGCAAACTTGTCCTCGTGTACTGGGTAACTCGTATTTGAAGCTACCGTGCCACCTCTCGCGGACAAATTACGATCGTACACTTTTCTTTTGTGAAAATTTCCAAGGACTTCATAGGCATTGGACACATCCTGAAACTTTGTCTTGGCCTCTTGGGATGTATTTCTGTCGGGATGATATTTTTTGGTGAGCTCGTAGTAAGCTGTTTTAATTTCCTCCTGAGTACTTTCCTTTGCCACTTTGAGGGTGTCGTAATGGTTCTGAACTCTTCTCCTCGTTGACATGTAAGCTTTGATTTCTTTGAAGGAACTTATAAAATGTGGCTTTGGTCGGTTCATTATCTATACAAAAAATGTTATGATTGCATTATTGACTGTAATACAGTCGTGTTGAGCATTACATCTAGTTTAGTTTAAACATTTTCCTCCTTCCTCTTTGACAAATGGATGAAGTAATTTTTCTATGTTAACATTAATACGAAAGGAAGCTGGCCTTACCTTGATTATTGAACTTTGACGTAATTATCGCTAAAAAACATATAATTCCAAGTGCCAATCGAAAACCATTGGTAATGTTCTTTGCCAAAGCTTGTCACGGAGAAGGAGAAAAGTTATAATTGACAACTCACAGCACCGAATGACCTTTGGTCGTCGTATCCATTTTTGCAAGTTGAAAGCGCGAAATCCAAAACGCTAACAACAATTTCATACCTTTTGCGCAAGCTTATTGTTAAACTTGCACGCAACGCCTTGCAGACGGTATACACGAAGGTTAGCAGAAGATTAAAAACCAACACACACGCGCGCAAGGATACTCCAATGACTATAACGATAAAGTAGGAACCTGTTTTTTTGCATTACCTACCGATGATAGTTGACGATGCACGAAAAATTTCAGAGGAAGTTTTAAATTACGGGAGCTCAAGAAAAGCTCTGCTTTTCAGATACGGAATAAAAAATATTTGATACTCTCGGTCAAACTAAGATTTGAACAACGAAGCTTTTTTCCAGTCTTTGATTCCGGTGAATTGTAACAACTTTCCATTCACGATGCGAGCGAGTATAGGATCTTTGATATATCTACACCTACCCCTCGAAGAGTTGCTCAACTGTGGAAACAATGATAAAGATTTCCTGTAAACATCCACGGATTATGTCGCAATTTTTGTGGCTTTGAAAGCTTATTTTGTGCCAAAGTTTAGCAGCACCGATAATTTATAGACGTTTCGCAGTCACAACCGAAAGATCGAAAACCCAACTCGCAAAGCGTCAAAGAGAGCGGACACTGAGGTTCCATCCTCGCACCGTTAAATGGCAAAACGTAAAAAAAAAAAAAAGGTCCAGAACTTTGTATCGGCCAACCTCGCATCGTAATGCACGAACGACGGTTTTTTGTGTCCCATTGACACACTCGAGCATCTGAAAACACCTCACCCACACAATGTCATGCAATAACTCATAACTGTGAATCACTCGTCGGGGGGCGCCCGCTATATAATACACCTGATATTGTACATCTGGGGCGTTGCTTATCCGCTTGAGATTCTTTATCGCATCTGTTTGCCAAAGATAAGGAACAGAAAAAAAAAAAAAAAAAGAAAAATATGAGAGAGGGGGACAAAAGGAATGCTGACAACCTGCTGGCGTGTACGACATTACCCGCTACTCGCGCGCCCACCTCGGTTTAGTCTTTCCGTAACACTTGGGCCCAAAAAAAAAAAAAAAAAAAAAAAAAAAATTGCTTACATCATTCTTCAAAAACGAACCTGTCACTGTCACTCTGATGAAAGGTTCCCCCACCGATGCTCCGACAGCAAGGAGAGAGGAAAAATAAAAAAAAATTGATCTAAGCGTGTGCATCTGCTTAAAATAGATTTCTCGTATCAGAACACGTCAATAGACTCTTGAAATATTCACTTAGTCAATGTAAATAAATAAATAAAAAATATTTATGCTGTGCGGATAGTAAATCTTCCTTGTAATTTTTAATCTTACGTCAGTTTGAAAGTTGTGTTGCCATGCTTCGTTACTGAAAGCCACAGTGAAAATTATTNAAAAAAAAAAAAAAAAAAAAAACAACTTGCTCGATTTTCGCCTTTGTTACAATTGTACTGCGTAATTTTTACCCTCGATAACTTCCATCATGAGTATCGTTGTCTATCATCTCGTGGTCGTGTATATACCGATAACGATGGCGACGAGTTTTCGCATAAGTGAATCATCGATAGGTACACATGTAGTAATACCGCGAGTATACACCGGAGGAAGTTTCGCTTTTTTTTCTATTTACGGTCGACATTGAAGCAGGAAAATCGGTTCGAGACGACGTATCCCAAACTAGACGCAAAAACGTCCCGTGGTTGAAAAATCACGCGCATTTACGGAAAACGAGTAAAGGAGAGGAAGTAAAGTGATAACACCCACACCCATACAATATATACGTATCCCTCTATATGTACAATTGACGAACAAAGCGCGAATGATATTATTACACTGCGCAGATCGTGAGCTTGTGCATGATAGGGCTGACGCTGTGGCTGAAGTTCGAGCCGGGGTTCCAGGAGTGGGTGGACTTTATGCGCATCGGCGAGTACTACATCGGCATCTGGATCCTCCTGGTCTCCGGGTTCCTCGTCTTCTTCGTCTCGATCGGCAGCTGCGCCGTGACGCTCACCGAGGAACGGCCCCTCCTTCTCGGCGTGAGTTTTTCGTTTCGAAATCAAAGCGCGATAAGAGCCATGGCGGAGTCATCGCTCTCGTAAAAAAAAAAAAAAAGGCGTGTCTATTTTGCTTTTGCAGAATCTGGGCGCACAGGCTTTCTGCTTCCTGCTCCACCTGACCGGTACCACGGTGCTATTGGTCTTTTCCACCCAGAACAGCGCCATCCAGCCCATCATCCGCGACTCCATGAGGAACCTCATATCCAACTCGCAGCACGAGCACGTCTCCGTCACCCTGAGGATGATCCAAGAAAACGTAACGCAAAGCGCATTTTTTTTTTTTTTTTTTTTTTTTTTTTCTTCGTAGAGGCCCACGTGGGGTATAATCGAGGTTTTTGTATAGATCGGCTGTTGCGGGGCGGACGGGCCCATGGATTACTTGAACCTGTTGAAGCCCCTGCCAACCGAGTGCCGCGACACCGTCACCGGCAACGCCTTTTTTCACGGCTGCGTGGACGAGCTCACTTGGTTCCTCGAGACAAGGTCCGTTTGGCTGGCCGGGGTCGCCTTCGCCCTGTGCCTCTGTCACGTGAGTTCGCCACACCTATATACTTTCCACCTGCACCAATCGTGCCCTTCGAACAATCGCAATGCTTCTTTTTTCGCAGGTCATCATCGGCGTGTCGTCACTCGTCCTCTACCAAGCTCTCCAGAAGGAAGAAAAGATGTTGACTTACAAGCGTTGACGCTGACGACACGTCTCGTTTTGTTTGGTTTTTTTTCTTCTTCTTCTTCTTCTTCTCCACTTTCGGTATGTGTATACGTGTAAAAAAAATGTCCAGACTTGGATGTTTGCCTCGCTGGTGGTCGTACGTGTGTGTGTGTGCGTGCGTGTATGTGCGTGTAAAACAAAACCAAAAAAAAAAATCATACGTTTCGTTTTTTATCTTAATATTAAGGTGCGAGTGTGATCGCAAAATAGTGACGTACCGAGGGATTTTTCCAGTCCTATGGGTGCTTTTACCTTCGTGTTCTTTTATATTAAAGATACGTCATGTAATATAAATATACGTTTCACGATAAAGTTTTTTTTTTTTTTATATACATTTGTACATGTCATTTGTATTTTGTTTAGCTAACGAAAAAAGATGCACGTAGGTTTAAAACGCAACAAATAAGATATATATTTACTGTGTAAGCAACGAATAGTCCATATGCATTTTAATAAATTACTATAAATATACGCAGAGTACCAAGTCTCTTCGTTGTCGTATTTTTTAAAAGTAAAAAGTACACTGCAAAAAAAAAGAAAAATAATAAAAATTGTATCGAAAATTACCATTCCGCACGGTTAATCGGATGCAAGATGGCAAAAGTGGAAAAAATTGGTACTTTTTCAATAGTATGAAATTTATTAATTCAACACTTAAAATCATGGTGAGAACAGTGAAAAAAAATTTATGTAGGAAAGTAAAATTTATCAACCGATCATTTTAAGGTTTACTCTGTTCCAGCAGGTAATTTTACCGTTAAAACAATAATCTTTGCAATTAAAATTTGTTTTCTCTTTAGCCAAATTGCAACCGATTAACTATACGTAATTATTTTTTTCTCTCAGTGCAGATGAAAATAATAACTTTCGTCCAATCGGGATGTGTCTATTCCCCGATGAACACACGAGATTCAATCATGAAAATCCATACGGTTGTACGGTTACGCAACCCGACTAGAAATAAAAACAAAGAGAGTACAGGTATGTATATGCGCGCGCGTGTGTAGCCATGGGAAACTTTTGAGTGGTGCAAAAAAAAAAAAAAACCTCATACACATCGTGACTAGGCATCATCATCATTATCCTGTACCCACACCAAAGGCTGCTGCAAACGATCGTACACATATAATCGTCGTCCTGCGCAGCATTTGGCCTCATCACGATCGGCCGCGCTGCAGCTACTTAGATAACGGCTCGGGTTCTATGCACGGTGTTTGATCCATCTGATGTTCCTTTCACTCTCCGTACAAAGGCTCGCAACCGCCAACGAGTACCCGTACACGATCTAAGACTATACATGTATTATGCTGTTTGAAAAGATTACTCGGAGACGCGTGTAATTTTGGCGCGACTGACATTATTTTGTTTTCTTCTCTGCCAATTTTTTCATTTTTTTTTTGCCGTGGGTGAATTCTTTTTTGTCCTATACGCGGGCTTCGACAAGCATGGGTGGAACAGGATGAACCAGTGGTCAAGGGTACGCAAAGTATAAATCATCATTGAAGAAAAAAAAAAAAAAAAAAACAACGTCAATCATACGTGCTTTGTACCCATTGTACAGCCTTGGACCGTCGCTCGTCATTATCGTTGGGCTCTCGTTGAAAATCCATTTGCCGCGAGATTCCAATCTGTGCAGATGCGAGGGAACAATGTAGGATTAGGCGAAGGTCGCGCGCGCGCGTACTTTCTACGTTTGGGCCGAACCGAGGTACTTTTGATTTCAATGGGTTACCGAGAGAACCGAGTGGGAGATGGAAACTTGCAGGGGAATCATGGTGAACAGGAGTTTTCTTTTTTTTTTGGATTTTCCAACTCTTTATTTACAAACATTATGCTAATTTATAATATACATAGTATATATATATTTATATATTTATTTTAGGTATGAAAATGGTAATTGCGCAAATACGTTACTAGTACGAATAATTTATTTACAATAGACTCTACGCGTCGTAGGTAAATCGCGAGCACCGTATACAATACATATATATTTATGATGGGGTGAACATTATTATTATTATTATTTTTTTACTCTACATCATATATATTCCTAGAGAAAATTAAACGTATTATATATAATTTCCCGAATTATTTCAAAGCACAGGTTACACACATTGTATACTCATGTACGTACTTGGACGCTTGAATATAATGCTGTGTTTTTAAAATCAACCGTACCGTATGTACGACGAGCAAAAAGCGGTATAAATCTCAACCATAGATTTTGCCAAAAACGAAAATCTCGTAATCAATATGACGTAACGATAGATTGTCGCTCGATAAATTACAAATAATTTACTAACTCCTACAAATAAGACCTAATCACGCGTTTCTACAATGTATAATATCCGGTCGATAGATTTTCGACCGATCCAACAATTTTTCCCAGCTCGCAACGAATGTACAACACGAGGGACCTACATATCCTAGGCTAACCAATTAATATATAAATCTACATGAGCGTGTGAAACAAAAAAAAAAGTCGAACTGTAAAAAAAAAAAAAAAAGATGGAATTTGTTTTGTTTTGTTTAAAAATTACACTTTAACGGCCAAGTCAGCGTAAGACACGTGGGCTAACACGGTCAATCGATTTTTTGGGAAAAAAAAAAAAAAAAAAAAACAGACATTCAACCGACGTACGGATAGCCGGGGTAGGCGACAGGCGGGGCAGGGTAGAAGCCGGGGAAGGCGGGCACGGTCGGCTGTACGGGGAGGGTCGTGGTGACGTAGGTGGTGATCTCGGTCGGCACGAGCCTCGACGAGTAGAGGGTCGTGTAGGCGGTCTTGGCGCCAAAGGTCAGTTTGAGGACCCGCGAGTCCGAGACCGTGGCCAGGGTCTGTTGGACGATGGGCGCGCTCGTTATCGTGAACTGCGGCTGGGGCGGCGGAGGGAACAGATGGGGCGGCACCTGCGGCAGCTGCGGCAGAAGCGGCGTCACCGTCGATGTCCCGTACTCGTAACTCGTACGGGGCACCGTGCCCACCGCCCGGCTCAGGGTCGACAGGATGGTATTGCCCGCGCTCACCAGCGGTATCACGTGCGACTCGTACACCGTCTCCAGGACTATCACCGGCTTCGATGTCGTTATCACCTGGAAAACACGACGGTTTAACCATCAATTATTATACACATATCATATCATATATAATATACGTATACACCGTAGGGGTGTTCGATCGTATTTACCTGCGGCTGGGCCTGTCCCAGGAGCTTGAGCAACGCGAGCTGCTGCGCCTGTTCCGGGGTCACGGATGGCTCGGTGGCAATGACGTTGCTGCTGGTGGTGGTCTCAGCGGTAGGCTTGAGTCGACTGGTGGGATTGACGGCGTGCTTGTTGTGGTTGAAGATGTCGAGGTCGGAGTCGAGATCGGTGCTGGGGGCGACGATCCGTTTGGGCGCGTCGTCGTCGTCGGCGCGCTCGTCGTCGCCAAAGTCGAGCTCGAGGTGGAGCTCGCTGCCGGCCTCGTCGAGCTTCGAGTTGAACTCGTTGAGGGTCCTGCTGGGGACGAATTGGTAGATCTCGGCCGGGGGTAGGGTCTTGGTGGCGGTGACGATGCGCGCGACGTTGTACGTCTGGACGAGGGTGAGCCGGCTGGTCGTGTTGCCGTTGGCCGCAATCACGGGCAGCAAGTGGGTCTTGAGGAGGGTCTGGGTCGTCGAGAAGGTCTCGGTTATGGTCTCGAGGGGCGGGGTCGATTGGCCGGCTTCGAGACTGATGGCCGGTAGGGTGGCGATCGACGAGTCCAGGGGCAAGCTCGTCTCGTAAGCCGCGCCAGTGTTGGCCAGGATGTTCTCGGTGAGGGGCTCCGTGGGCTGGACGGTGCTCGGCTCGGCCGTGGCGAACGACTTTTTGATCGTCGACGTCACCGTCACGTAGCGCGTGTTGCGCGACGTACCGACCTGAAAGTCACACATACACACATACATACCCTTTTTTTTTGTAAATGAGACAAAATTGCGCAATCGACTGTACATCGTCCAATGCCACCATCAACAATCAGCACATGTATCGGACGAATAAAATCTTTCCTTTCTTTCACCTCAGGTGTTCAACCTTGCGATCATCGCACAATGGGAGAAACGGAAGCCACACACACACACGGGCTCTCGTAACCATTACGAGGACGACCGCGATCGCGATAATCCTCCAGCCAAATATATTACGCGCGTTTTGTTGTTACGTCAGCTCTACATATATAGCCTCGTCATGTACACAGGAGAAGGAGGAGGAAGAATTAAGGTACACTCGCGATAATTCCCATTGTTACGCACGCGTTGTGATCGAGTACATTCATCCGACAGGCCCAACGATCGGTAGGTGTTGAAAGAAAAAGAATCGATATGTATACATTGTGGGCACCAACCTGGAACTCGTAGGGCGACTTGATGGTGGCGATCTCGAAGTAGATGTCGTTAAAGTCGGAGGCGGTGGATATCTCGACGTTGAGGGTCTCGGTGGGCAGGATCTTCTGGGTGGGTTGGGGAGTTGCTCCCTCGGGCTGTTCCTGCTGTTGCTGGACACTGACGTTGATCACGTCCTCGGACTCGCTCTCGTCCAACTCGCCGTCGAACTCGCCGTCCTTTCTCTGGACGAGGATCGGCTCCTCGGGCTGGGGGCTGGCGTTGACGACGGGTGCTTTTTCAATCAGGACGCCGTTGGGCTCCGAGCTGGTGTTGTTGGGCTGCTGCTTGGGCTCGTCCTCGGCTTGCTTGCGGATCTGGATGCGCGGCTTGGGGGTCGTTTTGTAGGACCAGCGGCCCTGGGTGCGGGGCAGCTTGGACTTGATGGACGGGCTCGGTAGGTTCGGGGACTGCTCGGATTTGGCGCTCTTGTACTGCTTGATGGGGCCGGTGTTGCCCGACGGACGGAAACCGGCTCGTCGGCGGGTCCCACCGGAGGAGGACTCGGGCGCGGCCGTTGTCGTTGGGCTCGATTCCTTCTGGGACCTGTTTCTAGGACGCGCCTGTTTTATACTTTCGTTGCTTTGGATATTATTCTAACGCGCGAGTCCTTCAACGGCTCGTTTGGGTTAAGTGTGTGTGCGTGGGTGCGCTTACTTGTAGCCGGGGCGGGCGTTGCCGGGCCGATTTTTGCCGGCTGGTCGGTTCTGATCGGCGCTGTTCTCGGCCTCGTCGACGATCTTGTTGCGATACTTGGGCCTGTTTGGGCCACCGGTCTGCCGGCGAGCTGGCCTGTTACCACCCAAACCTACCGACAGTACATTTACCGTACACCTTACAATACCTTTTTTTTTTTTTTTTTTTTTTTTTTTTTTAGCTATTTGGTCGATACGCGAAACATATTTGTAGACGAGTGCGAGCGCCCTAGCGAAATCGACATTTTGGGCTTGCACATAGGTGAAGTGGGGGAAAAAAAATAGTTTTTTTTCAAGAGATTTCCACGAGAATGAATATCAATAAGTGCACGTGATTGCGTAACTCGTCGTGGAAGATACGAGCCATCGACATTAATTTTAATTTGCGCATTATATTGAACAAAGGATTTTTCGGTGATTTGACTCTATGGATGAGCGTTTGTATATATTTTCGCACGTCCTAGGTATATGTATGCGATAATTTCAATGATCACGATGGTAAGTAGGTTTCCGCGTGAAATCGGCGAAAAGAAAGTGAAACTCTCGATGTTTTTTTTTTTTTTTTTTCGGTATCCTATCACGCAAGACTTGGGTAATCCGTATAATCAATTCAACGCATGTATACATCTATCTCTGCAACGGCAAAGTTGCGAGCGTAACTCGCGCAGGATTGCATTTTTGAAACACCGATGGTGAGTAACGTTGTTTTGTTTTTTTTTTTTTACTCCACGTCCAACTTGGTGGATTCATTGATTCACTTCTTTGAGATGAGGGGCGTAAAAAAGACAAGCAAAAACGAACGATGAATTATTCAATCCCCGGCCAAAGTCATTATTTGCTGAACACTTTTAGCATCCGAAAAAAAAAAAAAAAAAAAAAATCACAAACGTAACCCAAGCTGAATGGGAAAATACAAGAGTTTTTGCACGGATCCTTTGAATATTTCACGCCAAGTGTCTTAAATATACATCGTCTGGTATCATTATCACCGCGGGTACTCCCTCCGTTGACACTTTTTTTTTTTATTTTTTCTCATCGGGTCCTCTTCCTGTGGTTATTTACCGTTAAAAATAAGACGGCCGTGAAACTATTATTAGATTTCCTGTGCAGTGCCCATATGAATATATAAAAAAAAAAAAAAAAAAAAAAAAAAAAAAAAAAGACTCACCTTCGTCCGGAGACAACTGCGGCTCGTCCGACGCAGTGGGCTCCAGTTGTTGCTGCTTGAGTTTCTTTTGTTGGGGCCCGAGGGTCTTGAGTATCCTCTGAGCGCTGCTCGGGCGTATCTTGTTGTTGGGCTCGACGTTGTTGTTGGCGGGGGCGTTGAGGACGCGGGACGAGCTCTGGAGCACCTGGGCGTACTTGCCGTTGATGTAAGTGCCGATGACGCTCGTCTCGTGGACCGTCGTCAGGCCGTCCTTGACAATGGTGCCGCCCAGCTTGGTCACCAGACCCGTGGGGTTTTCTTTCTGGCGACCCGACGCCCGGGGCTTCTGGCCGCCGTTTGACAACTTGTTTGCCGACGGCTTCAGATTTATCACCTGTTTTTCACGGGGACACCCGGAAATTGTGAATTTTTTTTCGTTCCGGCGACCCATCTTTTTTTTTCTCCCCCCCCCCTTAATTTTTTTTNAAAAAAAAAAAAAAAAAAAAAAAAAAAAAAAAAAAAAAAAAAAAAAAAACGATTACCGATGACTTACTGAGCAAACAGACGAGACGAAGGGGGGGGGGGAAAGGCGATAAATGTACAACTCGAGCGGCACCTTCGTCCGAGGCTACAGCTCATTAGAAAGGGCATCGGGGCGCTTTTTCGTTTGAAAAAACTCATTAAGTAGCCATCGGAGTGGAAGGGCTCTCTTTCTCTCTCGAGCAATCGAGGTCGTGGTCAAGCTGGCCCCGCACAAAGACGACTGTTGTTGCTTGCGCTATATAATATACGTTAGATCGATCGGTATGCGCCTTTTTTTCCCTCCCTCGCGGTATGCCGTCATCGTGCCAATTTTTTTTTTCTTTCTTCCCATCGCTCACGCGCTTGTACACGCCGTGGGTGTGTTTATCGTATTTATGGGCAAATACCTGCGCTATCGGTACACGCGAACGCAGATTTCTCGTACCGATGATGTTTAAAAAATGGCAAGATGCATATATAGGTGTTGCGATTGTTTTACCTTGTACGACTCGTCGACCACTTCGGTGGGCTGCTTCGACAGGAAATCGTACTCGGGCTCGGCCAGGTTGTTCTTAACGCCGGGCACGTCGTCTTTCGGCCGCACTTCCACGACCGTCGACAACTCGGGACTCCTCGTGACCACCTCGATGCGCGTCGACGCCGTTTTCACGGGCTACAACCAACAACAACAACAACAACGGATTCAATACATTGTGATGCGAATAACAGTATCTGCCTATCACAAGATGAGCTTAGGCAAGGGTTTGTCGCGTTAGTCGATACCGATTTTTGAACTTGTACATGCGAGGAGTTGCCATACAATAGTAATAATGCATACGACGCGGGGAGTAATTGATGAAACACGCGGAACAACGCACGAGAACGCAGAGTTCCTACCTCACTCGGGGCCAGCTCGTTCACTTGGCTGACGATGTTTTGCTCCACCACCGAGTTGACGACGATCTTCGTTTTGTCCTTCTTCGTCTCGGCAACCCCCTTGTGGGTCTTGCTCGGCTGGATGTTCAGGTTCTTCTTTTCCAGCGTGGGCTTCGTCTCGATCGGCGGCGCGACGCTCGAGGAACTTGTCCCCTGGGATCCCTCTGCAACGCGATCGGTATACATAACACATACAAAAATGTTTATTTTCAAATCAGTACGTATATAAGCGAGCAAAAAGGGTCAGCGAACTCTGTTGGGACGTGCTCGGTTTATCGGAGCTCGTATTAAAATTCATAACGCAAGTGCACAGGTGGTATGGGCGCCGTCTCAGAATATATTATACATATTTATATATATACGCACGCATGCACACCGTACGAGCAAAAGCTCATCTGGGGCATGATTTCCAAACACGTGCCTCCCAAAGTCACGCAGCGATTCTTTTTCCAATCATGTAGAGATCGGTATTATGACGATAGCGATTTCCTCGGTATATAGAAAAAGAATCTCTTCACCGCGCAGTTGTATCGACAACGTAATTTAGCCATCATACCCGAGCTGTTTTCGTGTGCACCTTGACATTTTCCAAAGAAAACAAAAGAGATAGAGAGAGAGAGCGAATTGATTCGCATTGCGCGCAAAGCCTTACGAAATACTTGTATTGGCTGTTGGGCCGAGCGCGCAGCTCCACGGACTTGTAATACAGTGCACGCGTGTAACAGAGGAGGAAAGAATTTGGGTTGCGCACACTTATATTTATTATTATCTAACGGGCAAACGGATAATGGTTGCACGCACCTACACTATATGCACCGAGAGTTGCGTTTTCTCTCTCTTGGTTTGGTAATCGCGGTCTTGGACTCTGCTTTTGTTCCGGGCCAGAAGAAATTATCGGCGCAAGTAATTAAAAAAACAGTGAGTTATTTTAAAAGCAAAGCGCTCGAGGGGACTGCAAATGCGGAGCTGCTGCAGCTCGCGGTGAATGTCGGTGAATGGGCGGATTAACTTTTCCTACAATACACCTATACCATGTACGCGTATACACATAATATATGGATACGGGTAAAATAGAGACGTAAATATTGTATGCAACTAAGTACGGTGCGTTGGTAAATGAAATTTCACCCGCGTAAATTCATAATGAGCCAAAATGTGTTTATTTCTCGTTCGGGTACTCGAATCGAGTCAAAAAGCAAAGAGGAAAAAAGCGAGTCAAACACTCGGGAGTCCGGAGTGTATAGGTGGTATGCGTCTTTGTACAAAAATGCAAATTATTTGCGAAATGTAGGTATGTTTGTTTCATCGCGCGCGTGTTAATTACATGTTACATGTATATATAGGTATAATACGTGTGCTCTAAATATAATTACATAAAGAAAAAAATTACGTATCATTAGGCTTAATGGTATCACTCTGCTCTCGGTGCGCCTAATTACGTGCGAAGCGTTAAAATTAACGCTTTCGGCACCGACGAAATTGCGATGTATATATACCCATACGCATTGAGGTCCATTATATTCTCATTAACGGATAAACAAAAAATAAATAGTAGACGGTGCATGGGTGTACAAGTGTGTTGTTTGTACGTACAGCCGAAACGACGCGTAGGAGTAAAAAGAAGACGGTGGGTAAGTAGCGATCGTAGATCCATATTGCGGCAAGCGAGTTTGGTATTGTAAGAGGCGAAGATGTTTGCCCTCTCGATCGCTCTTTCGCAAATGGGGTGATTTATTATGCCGGCATATGATTTATAAACCGGAAGTACGGTTTTTTTTTTTCAACTGATTGTATCTCGATTTTTCACACTTGCGATTGCTCCTAGAATGAAAAAATCGCCGGGTGTTTGCGAAAAAAAGGGTCAAGCGTCAATTAAGCGCGAAAATAATTGTTAAATTGCGTCGGAATATTAAGGATTTTGCAACGAGAGCGCGTTCACCGCAACAAAACTTGTACGCGTCGTTGAGCTTCCCTAATGGTGTATCCTCGACGCAATCTTTCAAAGGTATACCGAGGAGTGGGAGGGGGGGGGGGGAAACAAGGATTCGATCGGCGCGGCGAGCAATTACTGCGGTTACTTACTTTAAGGTTTTTTCTTTTTTATAGAGATCTTGAAAGGAATGATTTTTTGTTTCTATTCCACGCCAGCCACGTAGTTTCGGGTCTTTTGTAAAAATAGAGCGAGTTCGCGTGTGTTTTGCATTTTCAGGGAGATCCGAGCGAGATAAGTATAGACACACAACGGTTTTTGTACTTTCGCAACTGGCAGATCTTCTTTTTTTTTTAAAAATGTTTGTTTTTTTTCCCCCCTCCCCTCGAAACCTCGTAAAACTGGTACGTGCACCTACTACGATTGCTTCTACAAGTGAACAAAGAAACTGGAGCGCTAGTTTCGACACTTTGTCGAAGAAAAAAAAAAAAAAAAAAAGAAACGCTTGCCCACGCTCCAGTACGGCGGGCTTATCGAATTTTCAACGATAAGTCGCTAATCACCACCTTCGTCGTGTATATTTTTGGTCGAGAGTCCAGTGCTTTCGCATGACTCGCCGTGTCCATGTTATACATATTATGTACGTCAGGCGCGTATACATATATATATATATGCATAAATTGTTGCAAAAGAGATTGTGCATACAAAGGTAAAGACTCACCGGGTGGTGCGCTCTGCGGACTGAAGACCATGACGGTGTTGCCGATCGTCGTCGTAAAATCCAAAAAGCCATAAACGGTTTGGGTGGTGTAATCGTTGGCCGGCTGCTGCTGGACGGCCCCGGAGTCTATCGTCGGCTCGGCTGTGCAGCTCCCTTTTTTTTTTTTTTTTTTTTTTTTATACAATAAATACACCCCCCCCATTCCCCCGTGAAATTTATCGTCAATGTATTGTGTTTTTTCCGTCGTTATTTACTTTGCCGTGATGTCATTTCTGCCCACAAAAAACGAGTGTTTCATAACGAGTGTCGAGAAATCAATAAACCACCGCTACTGCCATGGCTCGTTTAAATTCCCATAAGTTTGCCCGACGCGTTTTTGTCCATTTTTGTTTTTCCCCGCTTGATTAAACAAGTTTTCGACGCATTCCGCAAAGTGAGAAAAAAAAAAAAAAAAAAANTTTTTTTTTTTTTTTTTACGTGTTCGTTGTGATTTTTCTCGTGGAATCATATAGTATAGCAGGTCAGGTGCCAGAAAATCGGTACAGAGATTCAACGATTTTTTAACGGTCGCGTGTGGTTACCAAAATTACTTGAAATAGATATAAAAATGATCGAGGCCGGAAACAGAAGAAAAAAAAAAAAAACCAGGATAACATCATCGATAAACATACCTGCATGTTAAAAAAAAAAAAAAAAAAGTTCAAGTTGTAACAGGCAATACTTTATAATTGAAGATCGAAGAAAGATTGAGCGCTTAACGAGCGTTTAATCGAAAAATACAAAACGGCGTTTTCAAACATCGCAGTTATAATAACAATAGTAAGTAAATGAGTCGAAGGCGAAAATAGTCGAGATACAGTGACAAGCTGCTCAGGCGGTGGATCAAAGGGACGGCTTGTGCGGGTCGTCGTTCTCCGGCGGAAGGAAGAACAATAGTTTAACGCGTGGGCGATGCGGTGAGTAAATATGCAATATTTTTGTTTTTCAAAACTTAACACGAGTTGTACGCGAATTGATTTTATATTGAGAAAAGAAAATAAGGGATTCCCTTTTTCTGAAAAATCAAAGTCCTTTGAAACAAAAAAATCACGTCCCAACGAACCTTGAGGTTCCCTAGTAGAAAAAACAAAGCGCAGCAGAGAAAGAAATAACGAGCTGTACCCAGAAGCGTTAACCGTCATGTACAACTGCAAAGCGCCACCCTTTATTGCGAAAACGCGTATACACTTATACGTATTTATGTTACCCACAAATATGTTAACTACACCACCACCCCCCCGTGTCCTTGGCTCGAGCACCTACGTATTGTATTATTATAAACGCGCTCCGGGAATAAATATACGTGCAATTATGCGCGTGAAAGGATATCGCTTGTTCTTTATCACACGTACGACTTACACTTCCTGCATCGGTTTTCGCGTACAGTTTTCTTTTTTTCCTTCAAACACGAGACTGTGGAAAATATATATGTTGTGCATGGGTACACGTGAGCCGGCCAGCACGTGCGACGCGTGCACTACTCCACCGCGTGGTCTAACGTGCCATTGTCACCCGATTTTTATTGAAGCCCCGCGAGCCATATATCGCGTACGCGTTGTTCGGTCACCGCATACTCTGCAGTAGCAAGTATATATACATGTATATGTACTCCATATAATGCACATAGGTATATTGTTGAGTCCGGAAAAATGATAGGTTTCCATATGGTATTTATTGAGGCTCGTTTAAATAAGGATTTTGGGGCTGTATAAGTAATTGTTGAGATGGGATTTTATAGTTTCCACTCGGAATTTTTCGTAGTAAATTTTCATCGTGCAAATAATAATATTTGAGGAAATTTGAAAGTAAATTGAAAGGATAATGTGTGTGTTTTTGTGACATGACAACAATATCAAATATAGGCGCGTGTGCTTACCAAAGGCGAGAGCCACCACCAGGAGAGCAGTTAGTTGGGTACTCATTGCGGCTGCTGATGTTCACGGGGCGCTCAGTATGGCATTATCTTACGGCGCAACTCGAACCTGAAATTAAAAGTAACCACCCACGTTTTATCTTCTCGTACGCTTGATCGAGTTGGTATATCATTTTTACACTGTGCGTTACGGCTATAGGGTGACAAAATAAAAAAAAATAATTGTTGGCCAAACTTGGCGGACAAAAGTGACGAATCTGCGATCTTTGCGTAATAATCCGTCACGATTTTGGTATTCAGTGGTTAATTATTTCACTGGCCGTTACCGTGCATCACAACATTGCATCTACTATAAGTGTACATCGTAAAAGTAGATCACCGCGATGCCGCTGCACTGCGTAAGGTAATTCAAACTTTTCCATTGATGGTTTTGTTGGCGCAGTTGTGCATACAATCATAGTTTCTCTACAGTTTATGCCACGGTGGTGTGGTGGTACTTTTTCTTTGCTTGTACTGTTTTTTTTTTTTTTTTTTTTTTTTTTTTTTTTTTTTTTTTTTTTTTTTTTTTTTTTT